CCAGTTAAAATCGTTACTCAAAGTGAAACTAATTGCCTATTAAATGGCTACAGAACTTAATATAAAATTGCAAGTATACGACGGATATTGTTAAATGAATTCAAGCCCAAGCTTAACAAGTTCACAAAGGTAAACGGGAGTTGCTTACCTTTCGTATGTCTTATTTTCCGAAGTGAAATGTTTATTAATTGAACAAAATTGTTAATTCCCAAAACGTGAGGGTTTACTTGACCAAATGTTCTAACGAGAACGAACGAGGCTGCCAAACAACATTCCAAGCAGTCGTTAGCCATCGAGTTTAAAGACGTGAAATTCTGGGTACTCTGGGTAGTGGACAGAAAGGAGGACCTAGGTATTAAATACGCCTGCCTCGAAATGCTGAAGGGAACCATGATATTAGCAGTTGGCGATTCCATTTTTGACCGTCTCAGAGCCAAAGTCTAGTTAAAAGCTCGTCACATCGAGCCAAAGCGAATTGCTTCTGAATTTTCTATTATATTATAGCAATCTTTACTTTGATATGGATAAACCGAATTTATGGCCTTTTGAATAGGTTACACAGGAGATAATTCACTGTGGCTAACCCATATTACTGCAGATGATCTCAAAGGACTTTGGATTTTCTAAAAGTGGGTCAAACACCGAAGGCGTTTTTGGAAATGCATGACTAAGGCCGAGCTAATTTGGCCAAATAAAACAGTTAATTTATTATGCGTAATGCGAAAATATTTTGAAATGAAAAGGGGAAATAGAAAAGGGGGTAGGGCAAGGGAGAGAGATGCTTGACCGAGGCACATGTCAGTGCAAACGCTTGGGTACTTCAGAGCTCGCACATTTGAGATACATAACGTAGATATAAATTTGCCTTAAATGGCGCCACAAAGTATGCAGCAACAGTGGCAGTGGCAGCAGCAGCAGCTTCTTAGTTGCTTGGCTGAGAGCAGAAATCCCCACAAAGGGCCAAAGCCAAAGGGGTCGCAGTGCGTGGCAGAGAGTGGGCGTGGGCGTGGGCGTGGGAGGACATGCTTATCTAACTGCAATTGCTGGGGCACCACTTGCCATCAGCCGGCAGAAGGACAATAAGCAAAACATTGTGAATGCCTGGGCGCACGGCCGGAGGAAGGCCCCGACGGAAGAGCTAGACAAAGAGCTGGAACGGGTTGCCGGGCAGATGAGGTAAGTGTTTTCTTGTTGTTGCTGCTGCTTTTGGTCAGGCGCATGCCACGCCCACCTGTGCCCATGCCCCAGCTGTAGCCGTAGCCGTAGCCGTAGCTGTAGCTGTAACTGTGCGTTGTGGTATTCTTACGGTTCCGTTCCCATTTCAAAAGTGATGCAAGACTCAAGAGAAGTCAACGTCATGTGGCATACCCTGTAGTGGGGCAGGTGTATTAGCTGGGGGCCTGCCAGTGTCGGATTGGACGAGGCCAGCTTATCAATTGCAGAGCATTAGCAAGTCGTGACGTGTCGCCCGCACAGCCTCTATCTATCGTGTTCATTTTTAATGCCTTATCTCTGGTCTGTTTGCCTTGGTCTAGTAGGTTGGGTATTCATATTCTTTTCTTCTTTTTTTTTTTTTTTTTTTTTTTTCTTTGCCTTGCCTGAGGCGTTAAATTCTTGTGAAAACATTATGGAAAAGTTTGTAAGAATTTCACTTCGTTTTCATTCATCTGCATCTGGGTGAACCTTAAGCTCTTGGCGGCCAGCTCAATAATGTAGCCACTGTAGACTGTGAAACAGCCCACACAGTCTGTGGTGGGGGCGAGATATAGCGGATGGGGAATGGGGGCGGTGGGCGGGTGGCTGGCAGCTTCCTTTGTTGTCGCGTTTGTAAGACATTATTTAACCCATTCAAATTTGACATTTGGCTCATTAATTCTATGCACAATTCTCATATCTCGCATTTGTTTCGCTTCACTTCACGTCATTTCACTGCCGGAGTCTTTGCGCTTAATCACTTAATGCGCGAAATGTTCACATTACATTTACGGCCATGTCGCACCTAATTAGACCAATTAAATTTAGACGAAAAGTACGCGCATTAAATGCAAATTAAGTGGAACTTCACATTAAATGCATGTCGCATATTTCACACCCACCTGCCCGGCGCCAGGTTGCGTGTGCCGCGAAAGGAAGAAGAAAACTCTGTAAAATATGCTCAAAGTAGTCAAGGTCGATTCATTTGCACCCATTTGCCCCCATTTGCCCCAGAGGCAGGCCTTAGCCAATAACAAATTTAATTGTTTAAATGCAGCAAAACGTTCGCTAAACTCAAAGCGTAAAAAATCGAAAGTTATACAGTGCAGAGCCATAAGACTACAAAATACCCTTACTTTTCCAAACCATAGTTTATATTTGTTTCAGTTAAGAGAGAGTGTCAGGTAATATGTATTTGTTAAAGGTGTCTAGGGCAGAACATTTAATAATTCGTGAATTTCAATATTTGATATAGTTTTATAAAATAATCTATATAATTATAATAAAAATCTCTTGCTGGTGTTTTTACTCTTTTATATTCATTTGCCAAAAGCATCATATTTTTCATTTAATTTACTTTTACAAGATATTTAACATTTTTATTAATAGTACAGTGTAATATTATTCAGAATTAAGTAATTACATTTGCGATTTTATTTACAATAAAAAGTAAGTATTATATGAAACGCAAAATATTATTAATAATTAATTAATAATAATTAATAATACAATATATAAAATATTAATAAAAACATGAAATTATATTTAAATATAAAATAATATAGTAACAATATATGTAGATATAATTAAATAAGTAAAAAATAGATTTAATATTATATAAAATGTTTAAGGAACATAAAGCACAACAAAGAGAAGTAAAGTTAATGAAAAAAATTAAATAAAATATTTATTATATTAATATAAACATATTATTTCCATTTTTTTTTTAAGCATATACAGTTTTCAACATAAATTTATTTTAAACCAAAATCAACCAACACTTTAAATATTTTTGCTAATTAAATATAATATGAAACAAGAAATATTATTCTAGTTTAGTTTTAAGGCTTTATTCCGACAAATCGGAAACCGATTGATATGACATCTGGCTTTATCCACCCACACTTTACTCATGTGAATAAAACACTTTTACTATCTAAATTAAGACTTGCATTTCATTAAATTAATAAATAGATAAAGACAACAAATTACACTTCTGATATTTAAAAATATATTTTAAATGGTATTTAAATGCGAGTCTTTTGTCTAGCGTGGCGCCTAATTACCTGACATTATCCCTTATAGGGTCGGTGCCCAACCTGATTTTATCTGTGGATACGTGCATATTCTTATGTTTTCGGGTGAAGTATATTGATTTGCTCCATTCTGTGAGAATCCAAATTTTCCATTATGGGACATACATATGAGGAAATAAATAAATACAATATGAAATAAAAATATATAATAATATAATTATAATAAAATACTTGAATAGCCAAATACAATATTATATTGTAGAAATGGAATTATAATTATAAAACAAAATAATAAATAAGATAAATAAAACTTAATTAAATAAATATTAACTATTGTATAATCAAATAATTATAAATTATAAAACAATAAATTTAATGTGAAAATCTAGGTATAATATCCATACTTAAATTATAAATATGATATGAGTAATGCATATAATTAAAAGAAAACATTTTAATTAAATTTAAAAATTAATAAGCTCATAATTAATTAATCACGCAATTATCATAAAAGATAACATTGCGATTTTAAAATGGCATAAGGGATAATTCAGGACTGGATGTAACGGCGCCTTTTAAGGCTTACACCGAACTTCATATTTTAGTGTAACAGTTATACAATTCAGAAGATAATTTAGAGTTATTAATTGAGTAAATAAAAGATTTTTGTATTTAATTAAGCTCCCATTTAATCACAAAATTGAATAATACTCTAAGGACTAAAGAATTTTAAGTACAATTGATGAAATATATAAACAATCTAGAAATTCGTATGGACTCGAGCCCATTTTGAATACAAATCTAAAAGTCTAGCTCCAAAATTGTTTATGATAAATATAGATGGAATCATTTAAGCGGGGGGAGGGGGAGGAGGTAATGGGTGAACTCATCTATTTGATAAATGCATTTCATTTCGGCTGGCGGGTAAAATTTTTAGATGCGTTGCCGAGTTTATTTTTTGTTCTCGACTCTAAGTGTAACTGTAACTGTAACGGTAGATGAGTAACTGTAACTGTAACTGTAACTGGACTCATCAATCAAGTGGAAAAATTAGAGCTGGGAAATGGGAACAGGGAACTGAGGACAGGGACCAGCTGTCCCGTCAACCTGATGACCGTTCTGGCGACAATATGCTAATGAGCTTTATGCCGTCTGTGTATTTAAATAGCGCGTTCCCTCTGCCTTCGATACTGTTTTTGATAGACGCAAATACACACACAGACACACACACACACACATACACAGCTTTTAAGGCAACCCTATTTCGCCTAATTGAATTAGGTTTCACGAAATATAAAAAATAAAAGGGAGCTCGCTTCAACCTTTTGAGTTGGCTACAAATCGCCATTGATTGGGGTAACCGCATAATTTCATTTGAATCGAACTAAAGACCGATGAATACAATGCGACCAGAGAATACTCCGTGCTCTCACTCTCTCTCTCTCTCTCTCTCTCTCTCTCTTTGTCTCTCTCACTCTCACTTTCCCTCTGTTGATCAAAGTGAGGCACACAGAACTGCAAAGCTCCCGAAGTTCTATAAAGCACAATTAGTTCAATTGAGAATTGCGAATTGCAAATTCGAATTCAAATTCGAGCTCATTAATGAAAATTTTGGAAATTTTTGCATTCAATTTGCAATTTTTTCAACTTGTTTGTGTTGCTCGATGTTTGAGGTGAAAGCGCGTAACGAAATAATGTAATTACCGTTAGTGAAAGTCGTCGCCGCACCTTATAATTGAATTTCCGGTAATTAAGCGGTGGTGCACTCACCTGTTTAGATGCGAGAACTGGGGCTAGCGCAGGCGGCACAAAGCACGTGCAAATACAGTGGCTGAATATCAAGTATTTTCTATTTTATTTATCACTTGAGAATCGTTTTGTTTTGTTTTGTTTTTTAATTGAATTTGAATTTGAATTTTTCAAATTTCCTTTAGTTTTCAGCACATAAAAAAAAATAGTCAAGAAAAATATGCACGGATTTGGAAACGAGTAATACGAGTATTACCAATTAGAGTTAGCTCTGCTAAAGTACTAGTGGCACATTGTATTCACACTTTCAAAAACCATTTTCGAAGTGTTTTGGTAAATTGTCGCTCGGTTGCTCGGATGCTGCGCCGGCCACACAACCGTCGGTCAGGACATTCGCAAGCGAACTGCAAACGCTTTCAACAATTCAAATCAGAAATCCAAGTGAACGTGGCCGTTGCCGTCGCCGTCGCCGTCGCCGTTGCCGTTGCCAAAGAATCAACGAAGCGACCCGAACCTGAGCACGCACCAAGCGACAGCCGACATGGCGTATGAGCTATTTTTTTTTTTATTTTTATTTTTTTTTTTTACTTCTACTCGGAGCGCTTTGCCAGCGCACGCCCACTCAATGCCCTGAGTGAGTTTGTCTTGGGTTCAAAACAGGATGCGAATAGAAATATGTGCATGCATTAAGACGCCGACCCATTCTGCGAAACGAAAATTAAACACGAATTATTTTCTGAATTGAAAAATTAGAAAATACATTTCCAGGAAATAAAACAGACGAGGATTAACTAACTAGCTGAGACTTTGCAAATTTACTTGCTCCTATAAATCAAATGAAACATTATGCTCTACTAAAATCACACATTTATTAGGGTATATACATAGTCGTATGGCATAAGATTATTATATAAATAATAATATATTATATATAATAAATATTTTGTAAGCAATTTCATTTATAGGGCATTATAGGTCATTATAGGGCATGGCCCAGTCGAGCAACAATCATATGTATATAAATCATATATCAAGCTTATATCACATAATGTGGAAGACCATACGGCTATTTGAATGTTGGGCGATTGTTCTTAATTAATCTGATTTGCTGGCCCAGATTGCTTAGTTAATTGTTTTGCTGTGATTTTTATTGGGGTTTTTCTTGATAAATCTTTGTTATATTATTTTGTAATGGGCCGTCGCCGCGGCATGGGAAGGCCAGGAAGGGACTGGAAGGGACTGGCAACTGTGCAGTTGATTAAGACGAAATTAAATGGCAATGGCATAGCTGATAATCAGCTCGGGAAGACCGCTTAATTTGATTATCACAAATAGAAACAGCAGCCGGGCCGGGCCGGGCCGGGCCAGCCAAATGGCCAAGGCAATCGAGGCCGAGGCAGAATCCATTAAGCCAACACATCTAACGGTCGCACGCAACAGGCGCGCATGGAACTCTCTAAGGACTACGGTACGAGCGGATGGCACAACGGAATATTTGTAAACAAAAACGAGCCAGACTGCGCACCAGAGTCTCTGCTCCAGGAGGGGGGGACACACGGCATTGAGCAGCGGCCCCTCCCTTTCGGGCGCCACTGGCTGCGCAGAAGTTCAGTTGCGCTCAAGTTGAGCGAAAACTAAAGTCACTCGCCCCCATGAATGAGACACACGAGTTTCGCTCAATGAACATGTGGTGCCGCTGGTGCCAACTGGGCGATTGTAAATTAGGAATAATAGACGGCAGCTTGACTTTAAGTCATAAAGAGCATAATTAGCTCTAATGTATGTGTCGCCATTGTTCGGCCAGTTACGGTCTGCTTAGCTTGCCCGATGGGGGCAGAGCACATGCACTGGGGCCACAATTACTAATTGGGCTGCCATAAAAAATGTCCAATATATCCATCAATACTAGGATATACTAAGAGAGTTTTAAACATTTCAGCAATTTTAGAATAATACTTAAATCAATTTTAATTTGAAAATTGATTTCGCGCCATTATTTAACGATACCTTGTGTGTCGATGGTTGTACACGATATATGTATCGATATATGGCATCCGATGTTTCTTTCGTCATCAGCTGTGCGCAGACTGAACTGTCGAAGCAGCTGATGAGCAACTGTTTTTCAGCACCAAATTGAGTGAAATATCGATTAGATTTAAATATGCTTATCGAAAGCGATAGTTGTGTCGTATACGCTGGAATAATAAATTCAAAAGCCGCAGGCACACAGGAGAAAAGTATGTTTAACAATAGGTAAGAATAAATTCCAGTTTTTATTTTTATATAGTGGCAAAATTTTTCAAATATTTCTCATATCCGACGAAAGCGTAATCCGACCAAAGCTGAAAAACTATCAAGTGAAATTTGAACCTTGAGAGTCCTATGAGCCTTGACTATTGATTGTATATACATACACTAATGTAGTTATAAATATGAAATGAACACCTTGTGTCAACAATGAAAACCAAATAATGTGTGTATTTACCATATGTATTCATATCAAGGCCAATGTCAAGGGCTTTCCTAAGCGTTGTTTCTGCAATATTCAGTACATGTAAATAAATGGTTTACTGGAACCCCTAAGCATAAAATGCCGCATTGTACTTTTATAGAAAAACTGGTTGACTTTGTTTATTCCTACAACTGCAGAGTTAAATTATACATGCTCAGTAAGATTTTAATATGTTTATTACAATCGATAGTCGGAAACGGTCAATCTCAAAGCTTTGGCGATAGTTCACCAAATTCAGATGTTCATCTCAAAGAATTATTTATTTGTTGCTGTTAAATGCCACTATATAAGGTGATTCATCTTAATGCAATCAATTTCTGTACAACTCTACAAACATACGTATAGTATAAACACCGTCTCGTTAATCGTTTCCTTAACTACAGTAAGATCATTTATTTATGAGCCCAATCGATACATGTATTGTTCTATCGAAATTTGACACGAGCAGTGTGCGATATATCAACAACCCTAGCTTTCAATACACAACGAATTGGCATGCATTAAACATCTACGACGTAACAAATTGAACAAAAGACGCGCGATAGTTAAGGGCACAGAGTCAAGACAAAGTGCAAGTGGGCGGATGTCGCCGCCTACATATCGATATGTATGTATGATTCGTGTCTTGTCTGTATGAATGCGTGCATATGCATGTGTGCGAGTGTGTGGTCGGTGTGTTGTGTGTGGTGTGCGAGTGTGTGTTTGTGCAACGCTGTGTAGAAATTAACGTAGTGTGAAGAAGTTGCAAAAACGACGACGAAAATTGAAAATTGAACTGAATCAAAGACGCAGCAGCGCTTCTTTCAAGCAGCTGCCACAACGGTAAATGCGACATCAGCGGATTCGTAAGTTTTGCATTTGAAACTGGAGCGACCGCAACGGCAGCGGATTTCGATTCCTGTAAACAAAAACCAAATCACCAGCAACAAAACAAATGGCCTATCATTGAACGCCAACAACAACAAAAACAACAGCAACAGAAGTAACAGCAGCAGCAGTAACAGCAGCAGCGGCAGCAGCAGCGGAAACGTCGTTGAATCATCATGCGGAACTTGTTTTTGTTGTAAGCTGTGGTCGTAGCATAATCTGAAACAGCAACGATAACAACAACAACAACAGCAACGACAGCAGCAGTAGCAACAACAACAACAACAACAACAGCAGCAGCAGCAAAATCCACGACATCAGCATTGACGACGGCAGCGACATTGTCGTTCGTATCGAGATTCGAGATTCGAGCAAAGTTGCTTATTTATATTATTGCTTTGATTTTCATTCGAGCTGTGCGCATTTGTAATCAGCTTGCGGCGATAGCACGACGACGTCGGCAATGTAAACAAAGATAGATTTGCGCCAGCTGCCGCCACCGTATCGACTTTGGTACGGCGGCCTGGCCTGGCGGCATGTGTCTTTGCCCGTCCGTTTTATCTTATCGCAACGACTAAAAGCTTCACCGTTTTGGCATTTCTTTGCAGTTGAGACGAACACACGAGCGATTCCAGCATAAGACATGGAGGAGAAACGCATAGCGGATTACTTTGTGATTGCCGGAATGCCCGAGCAGCCACAGCTGCTCCAGGAGAACATATTCAATGACTCGGGCCGTCTGCGTGCGGCCAATACAATTGAGCCCATCACAGACATTGGCGTTTTCTTTCCGCTGCTCGGCGAACAGATTCCCGATGGCTATGAGCTGTTGGAGCACACGCCCACTGGACTGCCAGCAAATCTCAATCATGGCTCCGTCCGCACCACTGAATGCTACATATACTTTCGACGCGGCAAGGATCGACCGCCGCTAGTGGATATCGGTGAGTGAATCGAAGCCCCACATGTGAGCTGTAATCGAGTGGTTTTGTCCTCTGCCATTGAAGGTGTGCTCTATGATGGTCACGAGCGCATCATGTCGGATGCGGAGATAGTGGCCGAGACGCCCGGCGGCCGTGTGGCCAATGTGAACAACTCGTCGGCGAAAACATTTCTCACATATCGTCGAGCCCGTCCAGACATGCCCTGCAACGAGCTGGTGGTCACCGAACTCTGCGTGATCGTCCAGAGCAAAGGGGAACGACCGCCGCACGCCTTCTGTCTCATTTACAAGACGCTGAACAAGGGCTATGTGGGCAGCGATGTATACCTGTGCTACAAGAAGTCCATGTACCGTCCCAAGCACATTAGCTATAAGCCGGAAATATTGCTGCGCTATCCCACCGTCGATCACACGGACTTTCCGCTCAATCTCTGTCCGAGCGTGCCCCTCTTCTGCCTGCCCATGGGCGCCAGCCTGGAGGCCTGGCCCCACGTCAATGGCACCGAGAAACGGAAGCCCATCAGCCCTGTGTTCAGCACCTTTGTACTAACTGTGAGCGACGGCACCTACAAGGTGTACGGCTCGGCGCTCACATTCTACGAGGATTACGAGTAAGAAATGCACACAAAACGTGATTATTCGTGATTCAATTGACGATACATTCATTCGCTTGCAGTGAATCGCTGCTGTCCGCGGAGCAGCGCGAGCTGCTCGGCTGGGATGAGGAGTTTGCGGCCCAGCACTCGCTCCACATGATCAAGGCCATCTGCCTGCTCTCGCACCATCCGTTTGGCGACACCTTCGACAAGTGGCTGAAATATTTACACGTAAGCGCCTGCAGCAATTAACAGACGCCCGCTAACCGAACTCATCTTACCCCCGCTCTCTCCTAGCGGATGGTCGTGTATGGCGTCAATATACCGATACCCGTGGAGCGTTACATTATCCAGCTGCTGGACGAGGTGCCCTTCCCAGCGCCCAGCATACACCTGCAGCTGTCGAGTGAGTCGAACGATCGAATTCTGCTCACGCAGCCAGAGGACTCACCACTGCCGCGCAGCGGCGCCGGCTTCCACATGCTCCTCCA